GATAAACCAGAATTTTAAGGATCCTGAGTTGGACATTTGTAGCCAACACTTTAAGGCCTGGCTATATTGACTGCCAATGAATCCAGGTGTTTGACAGCATGCTATGTGGCTGAGGATAGCTGGGGTCCATTTCCATTAGACTTAGTGCTGCTCCAAACATCATCCTGAAGAATGGGGTTAGAGGAAAGTCACTCATGATAAAAGGAAAGAGCCCCCTCAATCAACATCTGGAATTCAGCATTCTGCTTGCACAGTGACCCTAATATTTGCTTCTTTTGCAATCCATGGGAGCTTTGGCATCTAAATGGGAGCATAAGGTGGCCCCTGGAGAATTTGGGTGAAGTGAACTCAGTGAGACAGTGAAATGAGCTGCCAACGATCTGCCAGACTGGCCTGAAACTAATGTTTTAGGGTTCTTATTTGTAGCAATTTCAGGAGACATCACATGGCATACTCAAGGACACCAAGAAGTGCCGACTAACCATTATAAAACCTCCATCATGCAATATTAGTCTCGTGTCTCCAGCATTAAGTACAGTTTAATGTTCTGCCCAGAGCATTATCAAAGAAGGATTAAATTCAGAGACTTCTCCCTCCCCATTAATTTGCTTTGACCTTCTTCGGTTTTCATTTTAACATGAAATATGTTCTTGTCCCTTCTCAATTGGGTGGAACTGAGATGCGAATTAGACCCATGCTCCGACAGTGAGAAAAACCAGAGGCTCCAGCCTCTTTGGCTCAAATGTTAATCTAATAGAAAAAGAAGGGGAGTCATCTCAGAGGGTAATCTACCTACCTGTCTGCAAGCAGAGATGTTTCAAATGCTTCCAAATTAGCTCATCATTATAACCCAGTACTATATTAGAATACTTAGAGTCAACCATAATAAGCATGTTTAGACTCACAGGAGAATGGGCTCAGTATTCCCAATATAGCTTCTCACTGGAATGTGGCTGGGAACTTTTGTCCTCAGAGGCAAGCCAAAGCCACTTACTATAACTGACAGCAGGCTTTGATAACAGCATGAGATCCACTGTGCACACGTCAGCCCTCACATGATCATGGAGGGCAAGAGCACCTTGACCCAGCCTGGCATTAGGTTCTTAACACAAAGATTGGCACTTGCCATCATTATTTGTTATATGGTAGCCTGTGGAGGCTGGAACTGAGATTACATCTCCATAGTGCGTGGCTGCTGTACAGGCACACAGGATGAGAAGTTCCCTGCTCTGCTCTAGAGAGACAAGACAAACAGAAGCGAAGAGATGAGATGCAACTTGCCCAAGGCCACAAGTCAATGTTGCCAGTTGGACTAGTACTGTGTGTCCCAAAGTGCTAGTCCAGTGTCCTACCCACCGGGATGCACTGCCTCTCTCTTTTCTCTATATACGTCCCTGCCTTCCTGCAATCTGCAGCAAGAGGTTGCAAGCTGAAGTTCCTTGGGGTAGATAGTATCTTCATGCATTCCTGTGAAGCACCTAGCACCCTTCTGCATACTCAAAACAATAAAGAAATCAGCACACAGAGATAACCCTAGCCTGTTGCAGTCTCTCCACACTCCTCCCTTCTTTTAGCACAGGCCTTGCTATCTATCTGTGCACACACCAAGAGCCTTCCTTTCTGAAGGTCCTTCCACCTGTAAGATCTGCTCTGTCTCTCAGCCTTTTCTAATATCCTCCTCATTTAAAATCTCAGGTGGCAAGAACAAGCTCTGCTTCATGTCATTTCTCCCCTCTGGTTCCATCATGTATTATTCAACTCCACAATCACATTAACTTTGCAAAACAGCCTGGGACACCAATTTGTATGAAAAAAATACTTGGCAAAATTAAATAGTATGAATAAACTGTGAGTTGATTTAATCATTGGATCCAAATAAATACTCATTGTAAATAAAACAAATTAGAAGAGGGGGAAATGATTTCAATGACAAACTCATTCCCTGCTGGTGACACTCTGAAGTACTGTTTGTGGCAGCATTTGTACTCCCCAATACACTCTGAACACTATACTCAAATGCACTTTCATAATCTTAATATTGTGTAGGTTTCTACTTGTGTAACAAACTCATCCAAGGTGCTTGTAGGGGTATGTGTGTATATGCATGTGTGTGGTCACACACTTAATCTTTTTTCATTTTGTGATAGATTCCTGAAGGCTGGGTGGATATCCCTGCAAGCGTGTTCTGACTTGTCAAAGCACGTAATATCGGAAAACTAATGGCTGATTAATGGATCCAACAAATCATCTTAATGTTTCAAATGGCAAGTGACTGATTTCTGAACATTAGCCAGTTCCTCTGCAACATCCATATGAAAGTGAGGCTGTACTAATCCTATGACCTGACTGACTCATCTGGGGCATGAGTTGAAGGGAGAAGTGGGGGGAATGTTTCAGAAGTAAATGAATATGCTCCCCAGCTCTCTTTAACAGAATGAAAAGCAGTCTGAATCAGACCTATATATACAGAAGCCAACCTGCTGTTTGCAATCAGGTTTTTTTTTGTAAGACCTGCCTACATGTGCTCAATGCTTGCTGGTGCCTTTAGGATACAAGTGTATAACAAAGGGAGTGAAGCAGGTTTCATCCCGAGAGAGAAAATTACGATTAACAACAGAACATCAACTCGCTGGTTGTTTTTTTAAATGCTCTTGTGCTGGCACTGGAACGTCCCTGTGGGACCTCCACTGCAACAGCTCAAACATGAAATCTCTCTCTCAGGGGAAACTCATCAGCTGAGGCTTGTGGGATGGGAACCAGGGAGCAATGCCAAGTAAACATTTTGGGGGGGGGGGGGGGAAGGGAGGCAATTCAGAGACACCCCATTTTACATGGCAAGTTTTACTTTAGATTCCTTTAATTGTTTTCAACATGCTCAACTCACTTGAATACGGTTTGTATAAGCTGAAACCCAGTTTTCGTGTTGAAACTGCATGCAATTTATGGTTTCAACATGAAGCCAAGTGACAAGCAGCAGTTTCTCTCAATCCCAGAAGTCAGCTGATATAACTGTCACCTGGCTTCCCACAGAAATCATGCCAGGCTGTATCTTGCATGAGGTCCTATAAATCTAAACTCTAAGCTAACAGAGCTTCAGACAGGTTAGTAAGTCAGGGGTCAGGGGAGGGGGAGAATACCACAGAGCCCCGGTCCCAAGCACTTCCCCTCTGTGCTGGGGAAGTTCATTTCCTGGACATGCTCCATCTGGTAAAACACATAGCTTAGAAGTGCACAGGGTAAAACCAGTCTATGGTTTCAGTAGAATAATGCCAATGCAACTAGGGAAGAAAAAAAAAAAAAAGACATGCATAATACTGTTAAAAGGCTTTGGTGATGAAAAGTTCCTCATACTTTTTGCTCAGAATGTTTAGTTTTAACAGCTGTTTTTCAGGCTGTTCAGGATATTTAATCCAGGAGGATGACTATGACATTATGTCAACCCTTGTATCATCGGGGATAGAGAAAACAAGAGGCCATGTCAGATTATGTACCCTGAATACATTCGTTCTTTAGTTATAAACAAAAGAATATTAACTCAAGCGACTTCCATGGCATTGTGGCTCTTCAGACCAGTGGTGAATGTAATCTTTTAGAAGGAGTAAAATTAATTTATCATCCAACCTGGTCCCTTGTATGCAGTTGGTTATTTCCTAGTTACATGTTAGAACATGCAGGTTACATGCTTGTTTGCCACCTGTTCTAATTAAGAGCATTTCTATAAAAGATATAAAATATTTAATTCCAATAAGGTTTATGCTGTGAATAAGAGGCAAAAATCTTGCCTTTAAAAGTTCAGAATTGCACATAAAACCCCAAAGAATCCAAATCTTAAAAAACTCTATTATCTTAGCCTATGCCCAAAAATACATGTTTGTGTGCATTTATACACTACACACGCATACACATTTTCTTTTCATAAAGACCCCAGAACTCAGCGTTCTGGTATTCAGGATCTGAACATAGGTGCAGATGCATATATTTTACAACTTGTATTTTTATAGTAAGGTTCAAAATGAAACTCCAGGTTCAAACACTCTCCAGCTTTGGAAGAGGAGGCTGAACTAGAGAAAGGATTATGAACTTCTTGCATTGAGGTTGTCTAGATCTTAGGTTTAGGATCAGGTTTTGGCAAGCATGTGGTATACATTTAAAATCACTCCCAATTGTAAGATATAAATGGAAACCTCTGATTGATCCATAACTGCAGTAGCCTAAACTGAAAAACATGCTCATGTAAAATGTACACAAATTCAAGTGGATCATGCATTTACACTTCATACATTGAGCCAACTTAGTAAACTTCAACATCTCTTACAACCAGTTGTAGCTTAAAAACTCATACTTATTAGGGATGCTGGTAGATTACAAGGGTAAGAAATCAGTTATGGTACAGGGGATGTCTTCCCATTGTACAGACTCCTAGATCTGCAGTGCTAGATAACTCATATTCCTTTTACTGTAAGTATTTGGTGTTATCTCCAATAAACAAAGGGGGATGCTGAGGCAAAAGATGGTTTTATGATTGTCTCAAGGTCACCCATCTGTTATACAAAACTACAGGTTTGCATATTCAGTTTCTCAGTTCTCAGGACTCCTTGCAAATCCATGCAACATAGTCAGCTACTAGCAAGGCTCTCAGAACTCCAGTCAGTCTCATCCAAGGGCTGAATTGTCAGTGAAAACTGAGCAGACTATATTTTAAGTTAACTTTCACAACCTTCCTTCCCAACCAAGTACTGTCATCTAGTTGTCATCACTTGCTTAGGTTTTGCAAGATGCTATAAACTGCAACAAGATAAAGCAACCCTCAAGCCCAAAATCATTTTTGCAGTTAAGCCACATTTATCACAAGCTCTGTGCTCAGTGCAATGTTTGCAGAAACAGTAGTCGGAGATGCATTAAAAAAAGAAAGATAGCCTGTCAGATCTTCCATAAACCATTTGCAATTATTAAAAATAAGACAGTGGCAACAAAGGAACTAAGCATGAAATAATACTCACAGCCAGTCTTCTCAGCAAGTTCTTGAATCTCCTCTGACATGGAGTGAGAGGAACCCATCCCCTTAGTATAAAGCACTGAACTGAAACAGCTTGGGCAATTTCCCTGAAGCCCAAACTAGGGGCCAGGGTTGTGATGGATGTTGCAGGTAGTGAGGATGCTGCAGGTAGCGACTGTCAGAGGGAACGAGGAAAGTTGTTTTACCAAGACCAATACTAAACATAGGGAGGAAGCAAGATAGCAGACCTGCTAAGGGAGTGTTTTAAGAAGCCGACTCAGCAGTGCCAGGGGGACTGCTGTACAGTTCATCAGTTTGAATCTGGAGGAAGCAAGAGCCACTAATTATAATATTGTGCTAGAGAGGAGGAGGGAGAGCCATGTAGGCTTCCTCAGGGTCCAAGAACCTGCCGTGTCTTCAGATTAACTGGATTTAGGACAGCAGTGATCTTCTGTTCCCATTAATACACAATGTTGCTTGAGAATATAAAACAGCCATGTGTCTTATTCTTTCCCCCACACTTCCAGCCACAGCAAAAGTAACAAGGAAAGAACATGCTCTGCATTTGTCCCTTTCAGTAAGGTAGGAGATACAGGAATCTCCTTAGAAAACATGCCATGAAGAATGGCAATATCGCCAAGATTTGCATATAATCAATACCACTGTCAGGGTACTTTACAGTGACAGATGGAGTTAAGCTAACTCTGAATCTTAACAATGGTAGCAAACAAGGAGAGGAGCAGAAGACATCTAACTCCACACTCAGAGATCTTGTTTTAAGCTGCCTGCAGACTCAAGAAGTTAACTTTACATTGGTTTACGCACTGTTCATGCGTTCAATTATCTTTACAATTATAATTGCTAGAGACTCCATTTTAATCTTTAAATGGGGGCTTTTGTTCTTAAGTATAAGGAAAATCCAACTAGGCTGAAGCACAGTCACCAGAAGTAGACCCAATTCAAGCCCCAGACTAAAGAAATGCAAGAGAGAAGAAATGGAGCCCAGTTCTAGTTACATTAAGGTCTCTTTCTTTACCTCATTTTGCTTAGTAATGGGACCATGTGTGCAGTGTGAAGTGTCCTTGTGGGAGTCAGGCTCTTTGTATTTTGCAGAGCATGATTTATAATATAATGAGACAAAGCCAAATTCTCCACTGATGTCCTTAGCACTCAAGGCATTAGGAAACTGCACTTTGAAGCCACACAAATTAGCTACCATACAGTAGGGACAGATAAAGCCATCTAAAATCACAGGCCCACCTCTGGGGTTGTAGGACTTCTCTAAGACTTCTTCCCATTAATTTGTTAGATCTTGGCCTGAATGCTGCAGTCAGTATTTGTTCTTCCAATGGCAACCTCTAGAGTTGGACTGCTCTGTTTATGAAAAATGTTTAGCATTGATGTCCAATTATAGACACGAAACAGAACTTAAACCATTTATAGAAATGAACTTGTTTTATTTATTTTATGGTAAGAGATCCTCACATTACCTCTGAGTTCAAAGTCCAACAACAATTTAACCCCCTCTCCCAATATTTTGAAATATGCCAAATCATCCAGCATAATTTGCTAAATCAGTTTACAAGATCCATAGGAGGTCACATGGGAGCCCAGTCTCCTTTCCATATTTATGTCAAAACTTTGATTATGCTTCACTGATTTTTGGGAGTGTTTTGACTTAATGCGAAAGGCATCATCAGTGCAAAATTATTCCTGTGCATAAAAGTGAGGGTGATGTAGCCTCTAGGGAACCAATGCAGCTGTAGGGAACCAAGCAGAATAAATCAAATTTCATAACGGAAGTACAAAACTCATTACTTAACATTTGTGAATGACTGAACATGAGAAAGTGCCTTAAGTAATAAGGCACTTAAATACTGTAATTTGTACTGTTAATATTGTGTTTCTTGATAGTAATGTACGACTCCAATAGGACAGCTCTGTAGTAAGCAGCGACTTATAGCATTGTCTCTCTAATTCATATTAACTGCACGTTTCATCAATTGGACAGTTAGGAGTTTTCCCTTCTCACACGTCTAATTCCAGTTGATGTGCTTTTGCACATAAATAGCCTAATTGGTCATCTAAAATCCAAGTAGTTAAAAAAAGCAAGCCATTTGGCAGGAGACTGGCAAACATCCTGTTGCTAGTGTGACAGATTTGGAGCAGTCTGGAATAATTTCTGAATGCTGCGTTTATGCTGGTTACCGAGCTGTTTGCTATAAGCATTTATACAGGTATTTCTCAAATAGGGTTTTCAGGAACTCCACCTAGAAAGGAATCCTCATTCATGTCAGGGACACTGAACCCATATCAGAGTCTCTCTCTGACACCCTGGCTGAGCTACCTGAACCAGTTTAACCAGATTCAAGAAACCCAGGGGTGAAAAAAGAAGGTAGTTTAGGCAGCCTTTAAGGGTGCAGACAGAAGTGACAATTTTTGCCTGGTTTGGCCACAGAAAGCAGTCTATATGACTAAACACATGTACACAGTTGCAAACTACTTAAAAAATGGCTGATTGTGTGAAAATATGAACCCTCATTGCATGAGGGTTCAGATGAAGATGTTTCAAAATAGAGCATTTTCTGTAACTTGTGTTAGCCTTCAAGCTGTTTTCAGAATGGGAGGGGGGGGGGCGAAGGGAGTGGAGGGAGTTTGTCTCGGGCTTTTTCAGCCCCTGCTAGTTTCCTGGGGGTGGAGGGGATCCGAGATGGGGGGGAGCTCCAGTTCACCCATTCCACCCTCCAGCCCTGGCTGGGGAACCCCCAGAAGGAGCTCCCTCTGCTCCCTTGCCCCCTTCCCATTCTGAAAACAGCAGGGGCTGGCAGGGAGGAGGTGCCATTCCCAGCCAGCAGCTAGATTCCCCTCCCCACTGGAACCAACAGGGAACTTCTGTTTGGTCCAGGGGATTGTTGCAACTTGGAGCGCTTCCTGCAAAGCATTCAGAGTTACAGAGAGATGCACGTTTGTCTGCATCCTTAAATGACAGGGGGTGGAGATTTGAGGCAGAACCTCATAGGGAACAGACAGATACCCATGAGTTACCAGGGTCTGGCCTACCCAGGTAAGAGTGGTTATGCCTTTTGACTTTTTTTGTTTTCAGAATCCTTTTCTCTTGCTCTTCTTTGTTCCTCTTGGGAAGATCGAGCAGTTTTGTGAAGAGGGCTCTTTTGGATCACTCTATTTGTAACTGGCCAAAAACTCCCGAAAGCAAGAACTAAGTGCAGATCCGTTGGGGATAAGTACAATGTGAACACACAGTAAAGTACAAAACATGAACACACAAAGTACAAAACTTCAGACTAGCACCTCCTTGAGGAGGGGGGAATTCTGGGACCCTCCCCTCTCGGGGAGGGGGGACGGAGACATGAGGTTTTATGCCACAAGGGGTGCACTTGGAGAGGCAGAAGGTGGCAGCAGAGGAGCAGCGAGCTCTGAACTACGATCAACTGTGTTATAAAAAAAAAATCTTAGCAGGCCAAGCAAAAAAAGGCATCCTCCTTCATGGCTTTCTTACAGCTCAGTGTCAAAATAACCTTTTTAAAAACACCCCTAGAGCTGGTATTTAAAAGACAGGCATGAAAACAGCAGGCATCTGGAATGTCAGAAGAGCTTGGTTTTAGGTTTGAAAGGCATTTTCCTTTCTAGAACAGGATGACACCATAAAACATTAATCAGGAAAGCCAGGAAGCACACTTCTTTGAAAGTGTGGGCAAGTCTGCTTAGAAGGAGAGAAGAGGATTTTCCCTTTTTCCAAAGAGCAGAGATAGCTTTACTACACAAAGAGGTGGTTACTGGGTGGACAGAGGTGTAACTAGACACTTGAGAGCTCTGGGTGACTGCAGCTCACCAGGCAGCATCAGTGGCTGTGTTGCTGGTGTGGTAGTAGCAGTTGAGCTGGCAGTGCAATTGCTGCTGTTTTTGTGGCTGACCCTCTGCCCCCATCCCACTTGGGTACCAGAGGCTGGTGCTCCAGTCACCCTCCTTCATTATGGTGTTACTGAGGGGCAACAGAGGAGTTTATGATGCTTATTGGTAGAAGTGACTGTGAAGGTTTGTCATGCCAGGTCAGAGCAGTGGCCCATTAAGTCCAGTATCCTGCCACCAGCAGGGTTACTGCTTGATGCTTGCAAGGGAGGCCAACAGCCCCTCCTTCCTTTCACAAAGCTCCTTAATAATACATAGTAGCCAGCTATTTGTACAGCACCTTAATGGCTAGTGGTTGTGGGGAACCTTTTTTTGCCTCCGTGGGTGCTTTTTTTTTTAGAAGACAATTAATGCCCTGAAGAGGAGATTTTTTTTTTTGTCTGATCCTTGCCTGCATAATCATATGCCATGAGATCTGTAATAAAATGATCCAGGTCTTTTGGAAGCCAAGTTTGCCTATGACAGCAAACTCTGGAACAAAAATAAGAAAGGACAAAATATACAAGCACACATCAAAACCTGTCTGCAAAGAAACTTCTATCATGACAGCATGACGTTTCTGCAGACAGGTTGTTTGAAAATACAAAACACCATGTCTAAGCAGAAGCAGCATTTAGTGGTTGCTATGCTGTGAAATTATGTTGTTGTATCACTTGATCAGCATGCATAAGCAATTCCACATCCTTTGCACATGCAGGCAGCCACTGACTTTCACACTGAACTCTTGGCATATTCAAGCTCTATTACTTCTTTTCCTCAGTGTGTCACTCAGTTCCTTTTGTCCTATTATTAGTATTGCCTCCATGATTAAAATGGAGCAGGCTTCCTGTCCTTTTTGCTGTTTCCTTAGTTAAGAGGATAAATATTAATAAAAGTATGATTCGTATTATGGTTCTGTAAGAAGACAAGTTATTATTGTAATAGATATATATGAGACTACCCTTTTCCTGACAAGCTAATAATCAATCAAAGAGACTAAAATGAACTGGCACTTCTACAACAGACCCAGATCCCTGTCGAAGCTAAAACAGCCTGAATTCAAGTGAGAAACAGAAATGAAATAGGCTGGTTAATGATCGCCTCTGATTAGGTCCATGTCAATACTATACTTAGCAAATGTCACCACATAGAAGCTACTTGGTAGTCCCAGGGAGGAGAGTTGGTACTCTGAAGACTTTTCCCTAGAGATAGAAACCTGGGCACAAATCAATAATTAATATGCTTGTGAAAGGCCATTAAGTCTCCAGCTGTCTACATCTAGGGGTGATTGTCTCCCAGGCAAGGTTGAGGTACATTAACCAGATTCAGTGAGGTAGAAGGGTATGGGGGACAGCCCTGCACTCTCAATTGTACACATGTCCTACGGACACCAAGGAAACATCTGTCTCCAGGGTCAAGAGTC